TTTCTTTCACCATATCTAAAGTAGAGAGGGGCTTGGAAGAGTTGGGGTAACACCCTGCCCTGATTAAATTTTCTTCAAGGCACTTTTCTCTACCTAAAATTAAATATCTATTTGTTAACTTGGTATTGCTTGTTTCCTCTACGAATATATAAATTTCTTTAGCTCAGTGAATTTGTTCACTATTCTGTTCTGTTCCTAGGAAGAAGAATATTATTTGGCACATAACACATGCTCAATGAAAATCTATTGACTGACCAAGTGAATGTATTATAAACTTGTGGTCTGCAGGTGGAATCTAGCCCAAAAATGTTTTTTGTTTGAGCTTCTTTGTATTTTATTCTTTTTAATAGTTATTTAACAGTGTTTCAAAATGCCAGATTTTTTATTTTCCTTGAAAAATTAAATCTCCTAGCCCTGGGTATTTATTTCATGTGGCAGCAATTAGCTGGACTGAGCACTGGGCTACTCCCTTTGTAAGGGACCTACATTCTCCAGTTTGTCAGCCTTTACTTCTTTCTATAGAATCTTGGACCATGAGACTTACACTATTTGCTATTTGTCATTTTGCCTGCTCTGTTGTGTTTTCATAGACTTGGCCCATTTTACTTATTTAGGTCACCTGCCTGGTCCTTGTAGACATTTGAGCTAACAATCTCTATTGCAAGTTATGGTGTTTGTAATTCCTATGCAGTAACACCTCTTAGATTTAAGCCTAGAAGTGTAAAATGAGTAAAGATGATAGAAGTTGTGACTTTTTATTGAAGGAAATATATGTTGAATTTGTAAAGCCTATATGTCACACAAATGAATTCCTTTTAGGCCAATGAGCACACAATAAGATGCTCAACATCATTAGTCATTTGGGAAATGTACATCAAAACCGCACTGAGGTACCATTTCACATCTGAAAGTATGAGTATAATAAAAAACACATAAAATAACAAGTATCGGTGAGGCTGTCGAGAAATTGGAAGCCTTGTACATTGTAGTTGGGAATGTAAAATGGTATAGCTACTTGGAAGACAGTCTAGCAGTTCCTCAAAAAGTTAAACAGAGAGTTACTATTATTGCATATGGTAGCTCATGACAGTTTCCCTCCTAGATGTATACCCAAGAGTAATGAAACATACATCCATCTAAAATTTGTACACAGATGTTCATTGCAACATTGTGTGTAATATCCAAGAAGTGGAAATAATCCAAATGTCCATCAACTAATGAATGGATAAATAAAATGTGGTATAATCCATACAATGGAATATTATTTGGCAATAGAAAGGAATGAAGTACTCATTTATGTTATAATACTAATGAACCTTGAAATCATTATATTGAGTGAAAGAAGTCAGTCACAAAAGACTATATATTTGTATAATTCAGTTTGCCACGTGGTAAGGTAGTGGAATGGGGATTGACTGCTGAGCATGGAGTTTCTAGTAGGAAAGACAGAACTAAAATTGGATTGCAGTAATGTCGCACAACCTGTGAATTGTATACAAGTGAAACCTTGAATTGCAACTGACTTGTTCTGCAAGTGTTCTGCAAGACAAGAAAATATTTCTAATAAATTTTAACTTGATAAATGAACGATGTTTTGCAACATGAATAATAAGTGATGCCGAATGCGTGGTCACATGATTAAAACTGAGATGGCATGATCACAACTGAGCCAATGGTTCTGGAAATTTGATTTGGTATACAAGTGCTTTGGATTACAAGCGTGTTTCTGGAAGGAATTATGCTCAGAAACCAAGGTTTTACTATACTTCAAATGAGTGAATCATATGGTATATGAATTATGTATCAATAAATTTTTTTCAAAAGAACTTCTTTTGTTAGTCAAGAAACAAATGATCAAAAGATTGGTGGATTTTCATACTTTAAATCATTAGCCAATCTAATCAAGTACAATCCCAGCAGCAGCACTAGAAAGAAATAATTTAAATTTACCCTCCATTAAAACACTTAAGCTTGCAGATTTGTATAGGCCTATGCCATAGTTAATATGCTGTCTCAGTAGGTCACCTCTTTCTTTGTCATGCCTTATCAGCATGATCTACTCAGTGGCTTTTGAGTGCAACGACATATAAACTTGTTTAGTTTGAAAAGTGAGCATCTTGGATACACACAGAAAGTATTACAAAGTAATAAATTGTTACTCCTCGACTGGTAATATTTAGTAAATGGAGATTTCGTAATGGGGGAAAAGCCCAATCTGACATTTAAAATTTTTCTGTGTATTAGATACGAATCAGGAGGCTAAATCTCCAGATGGAATTTTACTACACATTCTATGATTGCACAGAGGTTCCTGAGACTCACCTTTCAAACAAACCATCACAAGTATAACCTTTTCCATTCTGTGATTTTAAGGGATTTCCAAGTCTTGTTAACATAGAATATCGGAACTGGAAGGGGACTTTGTAAGTTATCTAGTTTGACTCTTGATTTTCCAAATGTCCATTTTGCCAGTCATGGTGAACTGCCTTGCTTTGTCATTACTCCTGAGGTGAATACAACATAGTACTAAGAGCAACACCACAATGATATATTGGAAGTATAGTGGGAAATCTTTTCCATGTTAATTAGTGAAACCTGAATTTTAGAATTTAATGCACTTGTTTTGTTTCCCTTGGTTCATTCAGACCAAAACAAGAAATGGTCATATTGTATGCAAACTGTTTTAATTCTCCTTGATAGTTTTATTTCCATTTATAAAAAACAGTATTCCTATTGCAACTTTATTTAGTTAGTTTTGATATTAGTTGGAACTTTCTAAACATTTTTCAGGAAATATATTTGAGCAAAGAAATTTTTAAAAAGTGTTATGCTGAGTAGAAAGGAAAGAGGTTGGTCCCATACAACTGGAGTTGGCAAGGATAGAAAAGCTAAAGAAGTCAAGTGAGAAATGAAAGCATGCATATGGATTAGTGGTTGTTTTATTTTATTTTTAAATTTTTTTTTTCAACGTTTATTTATTTTTGGGACAGAGAGAGACAGAGCATGAACGGGGAAGGGGCAGAGAGAGAGGGAGACACAGAATCGGAAACAGGCTCCAGGCTCTGAGCCATCAGCCCAGAGCCCGACGCGGGGCTCGAACTCACGGACCGCGAGATCGTGACCTGGCTGAAGTCGGACGCTTAACCGACTGCGCCACCCAGGCGCCCCAGTTTTATTTTATTTTTAATTAATTTAGTTAAAAATTTTTTTTTCAACGTTTATTTATTTTTGGGACAGAGA